AAACTCAGAGGAAAGACGGGTTGGAGAGAGGCATTTGGCTATCAACTCCGTTATTCAAGCCACAGAACAGAGGATGTTTTTCAGGAAAAGTCTGTTTTCTGAAACAGTTTAAAGAGAAAAGGGTTGGGTGCACCCCGGGGAGGGACCCCAGCATGAAAGGATGCAGGAGACGGATGGGAAGTAAGAGAGAGCTGTGTGGGGAGGGGTGCTCACACAAGATGCTGGCGAGGGGGACAGCCGGAATGTCCCTGTCTCCCATCTAACCTGGTGAGGAGCAAGCCCACACAGCCTGAGTGGGTCAGTGGAGGTTAGGCAGGAACAGCACGGAGCACAGGGGCCGGTGAGTGGCCTGGTGCTTGGGACGCTGCGATCTCAAATGGACGACCACCGTCTGCTCCCAGATCTGGTGGCTTGCTTTCTTGCTTTCTCTCTCTGGTGAGCACACGTGCCCTATAGCAGATTTTAAAATAATAATAATGACAATAAAATAAGTAGATAAATAAACAATTCCTTTAAAAAAATTGAACACGAATATTTTCAAAATGTATCCAGTAAGAGGACATGAGCTAGTAATTAAAAGGGGACAGAGGGTGGAAGGAGAGTATTTCTACTCAGAAACTTCATCACAGTTTACTTTGCTAGGGGAAATCCTGTCATGCTGGGAATGTTCAAGGTACATTAGCAAGACTAAATTTTTAGTAGCATTCACTTGGACACTCGGATTATTTTTTTCAACAGAATTTATGACCTAATTTTAGTCACGGGGACTGTGCATCCTCCCAAGATGGGGTGCATGGGGCCTGGTCATCCTGTGTTTGAAATGTTAGCAAGAAGGTGGTTGACGTGATGGAGCAAAGATTTTTTAATGATTTACTTAACTTTATTTATTCATTCATTTATTTTTAATTTGACCAGACACACACACACACACACACAGAAGGTGAGCAAGCAAGCCACCAGGTCCAGGACTTGAACCGTAGTCAGCCTTGTGGGAGCATCCAGCGCCTTAACCATCACACCACCTGCTGCTCTGGAGCAAAACACATAAAAACAGAAGTAGGAGCTGGTGGAAGTGGCAGGGCAAAAGACTATGGAAGGAGTGAGGCAGGGGCTTCATTGAATCAGCTCTCGGTCTGAGATTCTGTACCAGCTGGTGCCAGTGGTGTGAGAAAACGAGCTTTACGTTTCCCTCCAAGTCTGACACCAAATCTCATATTATGATTTTTATCTCATTTGCATTGCATTTGGTAAATTCAGTAGTCACCAGCCAGCTTGATTTTTACTGGATTTTTATTTACCCCCCAGTCTCCTTTGTTTTCTGTTTTTATTTATTGTTTTTCTAGGAATTCATTTTATGGTGCATATTAAAGGTGTGCACCATGGTGTGACGGCACACATAAAAATAGCAAAGCAGTTACTCTCACAAAATAAATGAGCGTATCCCCATCTCATACAGTGACTCGCTTTTTTGTTTTTGTTTTGTGGCAGAGCAGATAAAGACCTACTCAGTAGCAACGCCTTTACGATGTTATTACCTGGAGTCTTCGTGTTACACAGTAGCTCTCCAGCCTGGCTCATTCTGTAGACATTCCACTATCCTCGACCTGACATCTTCCCTTGCTTCCCTCGGTCCCATCCCTGGGAACCATGTTTATTCTCCATCTCTGTGTATCTGATTTTTTTTCAAATTCCACACATGAGATCATAAATATTTACTCCTGTGTCTGGCGTATTTCACTTGGCATGTCTTTCGGCTTCATCCACGCTGTGAAAACGGGCATGCTCTCCCCCTTTGTTAGGGCTGAGTGTGCACCTGTGCACGTGTGCGTCACATTTTCTTATCCATCAACAGGCTCCTGGATCGTTTCCATGCCTTGGCTATTGCAAATAATATTGCAGTAAACAAGTAAGTGAAAATGTCTGTATAGGCGATGATTTCGTTTCCTTTGGGGAACATGATCAAGGAAGAGATTGCTGGGTCACGTGGTAGTTGTAGTTTTAATTTAAAGAATGAAAACTGCATACTGATTTTTCTAATGGCTGCACCGATCTACAGTCCTCTCAGTAGTTTGTAACTGTCCCGTTTTCCCCACACCCTTACGAACATTTGCTCTGTTTTGACTTTTTTATATCAGTCATTCTAACGGTGTAAAGTAGTATCTCGCAGTGTTTTGAATTTTCTGATGGTTAGTGATGCTAAGCACTTTTTCATATGCCTGTTGGCCATTTTTATGTCTTTAGAGAAATGCCTACTCAGGTTATTTACTCATTTCTTAAAGCTGACATACAGTCATTGTACATATTTGTGGGGGACAATGTGACTTTTCAGAACAAGATTGCAACGCATAATGATTGAGTCAGGATAATTAGTATACCCAATCGTTTGCCAGTACTTTGTGATGGGATCATTAAATATCCTCTGTTTCATTACTCTGAGCTATACAGTAAGTTGTTCACTATATTTACCCTGTGGTATTTGATGAAACTGAACATTGTTCCCTTTGTCTATATGAAATTTTCCATCAATCATCCTCCTTCTACCTCCATTGGCCCTAGTTTTCCAACCCGTAGTAGTCATTCCTCAACTCTCTGCTTCTGTGAAGTCATTTTTTTCAGTTTCCACACATGAATGAGAACATGTGGTATTTCTATTTCTGTGTCTGGCTTATTTAACTTACAATAATGGCCTACAGCATTTGCCCATTTTAAAATTGGGTTATTTGGGCTCTGGCTATTGAGTTATATGAGTTCTTTACAAATTTTGGAGATTACGCCTTTATCAGATATGTGACTTGTAAATATTTTTCTCAATCTATAGGTTGTCATTTCATTTAACTGATTCTTTCCTTTGCTATGCAGAAGTTTCCTTCTTTTTTTCTTTCGTCTGATATAGTTCCTTATATTTATTTATATTTCTTTTGTATCCAAGATTTTGCTACAATGTCCAAAAACTCATTACCAAGACCAGTATCCAGAGCTTATCTCTGTATTCTTTTCTATGAATTTTTTAGTTTCTAGTGTTACATTAAAAATCTTTATTCATTTGAGTTGATTTCTCTGTGTGTTGTGTAATATAAGAGGCTAGATATATTTTGCTGCAAGTGGAAATTTCATTTTCCAATACCACTTATAGAATAAGCTGTTCTTTCCTCATTGTATCCTCTGGGTGCCCCTATAAAAATAATTTACCATATACTTGAATTTATTTCTGGGTTTCTATTCCATTCTATGGCCTACGTGTCTTTTTAATCATTATAGTTTTGTAATGTAATTTTAGATAGTTTTTGACTGACATGTAATAGTTGCACATATTTATAGAGTAATATAATTTTAAATAAGAAAGAAAGGGTGATGCCTCCAACTTTGTTTGTCTTTCTCAGAATCGCTTTGGCTATTCAGGGCTGTTTACTTTTTCATAAATGACTGTCATTTTTGAAAATTTAGTCTTCTCCATTCCACATTTGTGCAACTGAGATTTTGAAGCTAAATTCAATTTTCCCAGTTCAGCATTATCTTATTTTATTATGGTGGTTATTTATTGGTTTAAGGCTCCTTCAAATTGTTTTGGATTGGGACCAGCAGTTAGCGTAATGGCTATGTTGCTGGACTCCCACGTAGTCAACTGCAGTTCGCTTCCTGGACCCGGTGGCTTAAAACTCACGCCGGGCGTGTGTGCGTGCATGCCCAAGATCCCGAGAGGAGAATGGAGGAGAAGGGATTGCGGAGTGGCCATCCCTGCTGGGGGGTGATTTCTCAGTTTCTGTCTCTCTGTCTCTCTCTGTCTGTCTAGCAAATGAACGGGCCCTATAGCAAAAACCTCTCAAAAAAAATTGTTTTGGATTGTGGTTTTAACATTTGTCATATTAATTATGTCTCTAAGTTTTTCTTCAATTGCACATATAGCAAACATACCTATATGTCATTTTTAAATCATTGATAAAATCATACAGCAGAAATTGGGGCCAGCAGGTGGCATGGTAGTTGGGGTTCTGGACTCCCACATGGCTGATCACAGTTTGAGTCCTGGACCTGGCAGCTTGCTGTCTAAGTCCAGCCCCCAACTCTGTCTCTCTACAAATTAAAAATAAATAATAATAATATATGAAAATAAGTAAATTATTCATTTAAAAAAACAATTCTTTTTTAAAAAAACAGCAGAAATTATAAGAAAAACCTGTGTGAGAAACACTTCAAATGTGTTCATTCTTCTGTTTTTTTTTTTTAAGAATTACATTATTTAACTTTATTTATTTATTAATTTCAATTTGACCAGAGAGGGGCAGAGAGAGAGAGATTTATGTGCACCAGACATGGTCCTGGACAAAGTACGTTCATTAATTCATTCGACAACACTTCTTCAGAGCCTTCTATCACAGGGCCCTGCGCGGGGTTATGGGGACACAGTGATGCATAAAAACACGTTCAGTTCCATGAAACTCGACGATTACTGATGGAGGCACACAACTATTAAGAGCATATTTTCTGTAGTTTATAGGACGCATCATATCATTTAATCTCAATCAAAATCCTGTGAAATAAATTATTTTCTCTGTTTTACAGAGGAGTAAACTGAAACTTGGAAGAACATTCTCCGGAGCAGGTAACACACTGGTCAGTGGTAGAGCTGACCTGCAGGGACTCGATGTGGACTCGGGGCCACGGCACTCTGCTGTGGTGGCCACTTAAACAACTTCGCTGTGTTTGCTCATCTATATGTGAATATGCATCTCACTGTTTTAATCAGTTGTTTATTCCTGTAGAATGTACCCATGTGCATGTGAGAGAGAAAGAGAGGGGGAGAGAGCTAGGCTGAGAGAGATGGCACACCTTCCGCAGGGTCCGTCAGGCCGCGACCCCGTTCCTCTAGCTCCCGGCGGCTGGGTCCTGGGCATTGTGCGTTTTGGGCTTACTGGGCTGGGGATTTGAACCTCCGTCACCACGTGGGATCTAGCTTCTTTTAAGGAATGCGTTGCCACCGTGCCGCAGAGCACGTTTCCCCCATCTTTTCCCAGGAGGGCTCAGGGGTGTCATGCAAATTGCTTTTAGGAACCACAACCCCGCATTGCTCCCTTGACAATCGCTTTCACGTGGTCATGACCGGGGCCTCTGGGATTGGCATGTGGCCCTGTCTGTGGAGCAGAGCAAGCAGACGAAACCCAGAGACAGAATTTAGGTTAAGCCAGGGTTAGGCTGAGGCAGGCTACTTCGTAGACCAAGAAGAGGAGCAAGAGAGAACATAGAACACTAATGCTAGGGTTTTACGCCGTCGCGTATTCTCAAAGCTGTTTCTACGTTACTGCATCCGACCCTAATCGCAGCGCTTTCAGGGAGATGAAGTGTCGTTTCTGCTTTTAGACAGTGAACTGTCAACGACAGGTGACTGAGAGGCGGCCGAAGGTACAGACGCACAGGCAGGCTCTGGCTCTAACCCATGAGATCCCAAGTCCGGGTTCCCACTCTGAAGAAGAGAGGAGTCAGGACAGAAGACGGGGAGGAATGGCAGTGAGCAGCAAAACACACGGCGAACACATCGTGTAGGAGTACTTAGCGGTCCTGTGGGTCCTGTCACAATCCATGTTCTTCCTAAGAGGCACTGAATTTTCTCCTATTTGGACAGGCCGAAGGTATGGGGGGCTTCAACACCAGTCTTGGGGACGGCTTCCTTTTGGTGGGCTTCTCAGATTGGCCTCAGCTGGAGCTCACGCTTTTTGTCTTTATTTTGACTTTCTACTTCCTAACACTCATTGGCAACACCACCCTCATCGCTCTCTCCCGCCTGGACGTCCAACTGCACACACCCATGTACTTCTTCCTCTGCCACCTCTCCTTCCTGGACCTCACGTTCACCACCAGCTCCGTGCCCCAGCTGCTGATCAACCTCCATGGCCTCGACCACACCATCTCCTACGGGGGGTGTGTGGCCCAGCTGTTCTTCTGGCTGGGCCTGGGCTCCACCGAGAGCGTGCTCCTGGTGGTCATGGCCTTTGACCGCTATGCTGCCGTGTGCCGTCCACTGCAGTACACCGCCATCATGCACCCTCGCCTCTGCCAGGCCTTGGCTCTCGTCTCCTGGGCGGGAGGCTTCGCCAACTCTCTGGTCCAGACAGGCCTCATGATGGCCATGCCCCTCTGCAGCCATCGGCTGAACCACTTCTTCTGTGAATTGCCTGTACTTCTGAAACTCTCCTGTAAAGATGTAGAACGAACAGAGGCCAAGATGTTCATATCCCGGGCCATCATCATCGTCATCCCCCCAGCCCTGATCCTGGGCTCCTACGTGCACATCGCCCGGGCAGTGCTGAAGGTCAGGTCGGAGGCCGGGCGTCGGAAGGCTTTCGGGACGTGCGGGTCGCACCTGCTGGTGGTCTCCCTCTTCTTCGGCTCGGCCATGTACCCTCACCTCCAACCCAGCCACGGTTACTCCGAGAGCAAGGGGAAGTTCGTGGCCCTTTTTTATACCGTGGTCACACCCATGCTCAATCCTCTGATCTACACCCTGAGGAACAAGGATGTGAGGGGGGCTCTGAGGAAGGTTCTAGGCAGAGGCCGAGACTCGGAGTAGGGCGGGAAGGAGGGCTGTCCAGCTTTCATGACGGCCCCGGTTTCAGAGCCCACCCTGCCCTGTCCCATAGTGCTCAGTAGAAAACAGACCTTGAAGGCCTCCAGGATTGAGCGCCTTTGCGGCTGTGGCTCACAGCGGGGTCTGGAGCCGCAGGGAGCGTCTGTGTCCTGCAGGCCGATGAGACCCCGAGACCCCGATTCGGTCACCAGGCTCACGGCCGTTGGTGCAGGGGCTGGGTTCCCGGCAGGCTGGCGGTGAGAGGAGACGTCAGCGGGACGCCAGCACCTCCTGCACAGTCCCACCTCCCCGCCCCGCCATCCCCACGACCCCGTGCCCGTGGGA